TTGGCACTGACCGATGAAATTTCTGTTCCGGTACTTTTTCCATCTCAATTGCTCGTCAATGGTTGTTCCCTGCTTATCTTTCCTCGCGCGACGCGGTCGTGACTCCGCCCTCCTTCCGCCGACACGCGCATATGGCGAAGTGCGTACGCACCGTTGGCTGATTGGTGTTGTGTGTGTGACAGGCAACGCCCTTTCTTTCACTGCATGATTATCCGCACTTGTTATTTTCCGGAAACCTGTCATCCTGATATATATTTTCCGTTTCTCGAAAAATGCCTCAAGATTACGAAGTGACCCGGAAGCTTTGGGATGGACGAGTGCCCGTGCAGTTCGTTCTGGATAGTGCAGAATTCCTCCAGCGGTCTACAAAACCGTTTTGTGTTGGTTTCATTTGCTTACTTTTTCCACTAAAAGTTCAATTTTTCCATTTTTCTTTGGACAGTTGGTGCGGAGGTCTGTTCAGCAGCCTGAAAATTAATTCTGCATAATTATTCAATTGAAAATAATGAAGATGTTTAACGAATCGGTTCTAAAACCAGACCGCTATCGTAAACGACCCGTTCAATTGTGATAAATAAAACTCTTTGTACTATTCCTGTCCTTTTACTCAATACTCATTGTAGGCAATGGTACCTCGAATGAGTTATTTCCCATTGATACTACCACGTGTTCTACAGTATTTCAATACTGTCGTTGAGCCGATTGCTGTGGATTCGGTTTGGTTACAATACAACGGTCAGCCGTTGAAATGGTAGTTTATTTCGTCAAAGCTGAAGCCCTCCATCTCGAATGTTAGCCGTTATCTGTAAAAGTAACAAGCTCTTAGGCCAGTGATGAGGCTAACGCATAGGCTTCGGCTTATGTGTGGAGCTTATGACCACACGATGGCGCGGTGGCGCTCGTCAACAGCAAAAGTACCATTATAAATTAGGTCACGGGCGGCTTTGAGCCACAGATAAATTTGCTTTTAGGCATTATCCGGTCGGTGTCTTATTCGATCTTTTAAAAACTGACGATCTGCTACCGTGGACAGTCACTCTTCTCACAAAGGTGGGCTAGCAATTTTATGAGTGGAACACGACCTTATGCAGTGGAAGAAATATATTGCGATATCCAGTACGCATTACTTTCAGAACAACTTACTTCCTTACATGCATTCAAACGTTGAGGTTCCTGATTGCAAAATTAATTGACCAAAAATTTTTTCTCATTCATTGAATACGTTATGGATTCTAAGCTGTTCAAATTTGCAATGCAAGGGTCATTAGTACGTATTGAAGAATTTCCCAAAAGAAGTGATGCGTTGTACCGGTGATGCCTTGGAAAGCGTATTTATCCAGTCAATCAAAGAAGCCGATCAGTTGAAACATAAAGCAGATATCATCAACTCGATGAAGTCCGAGGAGCATAAGCAGTTATGGAATGGCCTCGTTCAAGGTTAGCTCTCGCTCGATCTTGCGATATNNNCGTTCGCATTGAAAACCGTCGAAAGCGAATGGTCATTTGTTGAGAGTTTGAATCGTTCGTTAGTTTCGATATCAGAAACGTTTACTTGTCAGATCGATTTGACGAGTTTTGGTCAGTGAATAAAAAACTGATGGAAAATAGTGATTCAAGAGCAATTTTGCACGTACCGATACGTATCTACGAGGTTAGTGTTCCTTTCACTCTTCTTCTGAATTGTGCTGATAACAATTCAAATTCGGATCAGAGATCCATGAATCTGTCGTATCTTTGTTCTGATTGCGATTACAATTACATTCAAACTCCTCTTGACTTCCAAAAAGCGGAGCTATTGACCTTATGTAAATACCTGCATGCAGGTGTGTTCATCATCGTGCATAGTTCCGAATAGTCAGCAATATGGGGAGCGCTCCCCCCCTCCCCGCGCAGTTTGCTCCCCAACTTTTTTGGCAGAGACCCTCCTCCCTGTCCGAAACACTGCTACCCGTCGAACACTAGTTCCGAATGCTTATCTTGCTCTTAGCCTGCATGTAACTTTCGACGTTATTTTTGCTGGTCAATTGATTACGCTATGTTTCTGACCTAACAAGTGGTAAATGCCACTCTATTCCCTCATCCTTCAAATAGTTTAACATTAACTCGAATCTAGGCTCGCCAGCCATTCCGACAAATATTGGTAACGCCTTACAATGAAAATGGTGGACGACGGACTCTAGCGGATGTTCTCGAAATGATTCATGTAAATGAAACAGACAAAAATGTTGTTTCGCATGGAATTTTGCTGCCATCCGAAACTCCTCTATTATGGATGGCCGAAAATTTTTGCTATTTGGATAATTTTATTCATATTGTTCTTGTACCACAGTCTGTTTAGATACACACCAATCGGAATCAGCAGTCATTTGAATTAATGCCTCTAGTCGTTGTATAAATGATAGTTTTGAATTAATACTTTGTGTACAAATGAATTAATACTTGTTAGTGTATAAATGATACGCAGTGGTGTTCTGAAATTAGATTTATATCAGAAGAGAGCAGAAGATGTGCAGAAACTCAGCATATTTATTAGTCAGTTTTCTATTTTATTATTCACTTAAATATTCGTTCTTATTTTATGAGTGCATTTGTTTTTGTTTATTGGAGTATACGATCGGAACATTCTTCTGATTTTGAGACTGAATCCATGCGCAATTCTGCTTCAATTTCTGCTGATTGTTCATAAATTATTGCTGATGTAAAGAGGTTGTTTACCTGATAGCGTAATCTCGAGGTGAAGTGTCTGAGGAATAGTGTTTATGTGAGATCGAGTGGCGCTATTATTTTATTGCAAGCAATTTGTCAATCGTTACTAATTGGCCCTGACACTAAATGTTCATGAGTTGAGCAAAATCTTATTGCGGCTCTTTCACTATAGTTGACTACTTATGAATGCAGTCGATGGAGTTTCTTTCGCAAAATTACAAAGTCTTATCAAAAGTCAGTATATTTAATCAGCAAACATTGCAATAGGAAATGAAGATGATCATGTAATCACTGTTTCACTTTCTTATTGTAATCTTTGTACCTTTCGTAATTGTTTTGGATAGTTGGTTCAGTTTGATTTGAATTAATTTCTGTTTGGAAGTTGGAATGTTTAGTTCTGTTTGTATGTAGTGTTATGTTGTGTCCCGAAAATGTTCAGTGCTTCTTGGGATTGTCGATAGTTTTGTTCTGACCGTAGAAACTGACGGGATTGCTGCGAGTAAGAAATTTCGAATTTGATTCGTTCAACGTAATGAATAGAAGGAAAAGAAGATCATTTTCTTCGACAACTGATTTGTCGATTTCAGTATAATATTTTAAAGCTGATTCATTGAGTTTTCAGCGCTTAGATCTCCGTTAACGTTTTAATGTATTTTACCTCGTTACTTGTTCTTGAGCTGTGTAAAAACATTCGATGTACTTGTGAGGAAATTTTTATTCATCAACTCTGTTGCATTTTAGAGTTGAATTGTTTTCCCGTGGAGAGTTCAGTTCGATTTGAAAGTTTCTTAAATTGTTTTATTCTTTCGCTCCTATTGTTCATGTGTTCTATGTTCTGTTTCATGTAAATCGCTTTTTCAATGTGATTATTTGCTACAATTCGTTCATTGTTCTTATAAGACTGCTCATGGTGTATTTTGAAGAATTTAATAAACATTAAATCAATCTCGTTTAGTTGGCCAAAACGCTCACGTGATTTTAAAGTTGATACGAAGCACTGGTAATTTGGTGGATTTTTGCAGACATTTTCTTTCTATGATGATTGGACGGAGCAAAAAATAAACGCATAAATTACTGAGCATCTAACTTCAGACTTATCGTCTAAGGGCATCTCAACAATTACGAAAAAACAGATCATAGGAGCAGTGAATTCTTGACTGAGCCTAGCCAACGACTGAAAACGTCCAAAGGGAAACTTTTAATAAGCTATGTTCATCCTCGAGAAAATTGTATTCCGGCCTACTTCATTTCTCACAAACAGACGTGAGTAGTAATGTACAGAGAAATGTATCTTGTACAGTTTCGGCTTACTCATAGGAACAGTCCAAAAGCACCACCCATATGTCACCATCTTTTGCTCAGACAGTTTTTTTGAGTGATCAGTTAGGCGTTATTTAGACCAT